ATTTTTAACTGAAGTTCCTGTAAGGCAGCCACCATCGCTAATCCCTGAGTGTAAGCTAGGTCCATATCTGAATAATTCTTAATGAATTCGTCACATCAGTCCTCTTCCTGTGAGGCCTTAGCGTGGTCTGGCATTCATTACCAACATTATCATAAGCTAGCTATTTCGCAATGGAAGTTCCAACACCTGTGTCTCTAACCTTTTTGTATAATGTCCATACAGGCCTAAAAATCAATTCTGAATTAACTCCCTAGGTCCCTGTCTGCTCTCTATAATAAATTTCCTCCTCCTGACCCGCAGGCCTTGGTTACCCGCTTTCAATTTCCTAGGGGTGAGGCTTCTACAGCAATATTCCCTATCAGCCTCTGTTGGTCCATACTAGACACACGCCATTTTTTAGTTCCTGGAGCTGGTTGAATGGTATTAGCACATGTATCCTGCTATGTTCCCCTGAGCCTCCCCCCCCCCTCTCTCTCTCTGTCTCTCTCTCTCTGATCCAAGGAAACCTGTAAATTTCTTATCTCCTGTAAGCAATTTTGCTAAAATTTCCAATTCTCTTAGCTCTTGTTGAATTTTACCATTGAGTATTTGCCTTTCTGTATTTCCAGCTTAAAAAGAAAGAAGGAGGTGAAGGCTCCCTCCATTTTGGTGCTTATTAACTCTCTCTCCCTGCTGATCCCAATCATTTGTCCTGTATATTCTTTACCATCCAGCTGCCCCTAAGTAGGGGCAGAGGTTCCTGTTCTCCATTCCATTCCTAGATATCTCCTGAGGGCCTGCGTGTATGCAAGGCCGCACCTATGTCTTCCCAAGCCCCTGCGCAATTCGAAATGCTGCATCATGGCGGTGGCTTCTATAAGCGGGAAGGATCCTTTTAAAACTTTTAAACTCTAAAATCTTCTGTACTTGCTTTTATTTTGTTTTAGCTCTCCTAGCTATTAAATTATATCCAAGTAAATAAATATACAATCATCTGACTAATAATTACCTGCCTGATTTCTCTAACTATATACATTTTTATTTTCAAGGCTAATTTACTTCTCTTTACCTCTGGCTAATATTTCTGTTTCATATTTACAATCACCTGCATTTTTTATTCCAGAGTTTAACATATTACATTTTACTATTTTATCATCTGACTGACATTTCAGTCTCATACCTACTGTGTGCATTTTCTCTTACTTTAAGGGTTAAATAATCCGCTTTACCTATTTTTATCAGCTGCTGGCTGACATTCTCTCATTTGTCCATCTTCCATTATTTTAAGGGTTAAATAACCCGCTTTACCTTTCTTGTCAGCTGCTGGCTGACATCTTCGTTTTATATATATTTTGTGCACATTTCTGCTTTAAGGGTTAAATAACCCAATTTATCTTTTCGTCAGCTGCTGACTTACGTCCTCCTATTTTATATTACATATATCTGTTTCCCATTTCTACAATTATATACAGTTTTATTCCTGACTTAACGCTGTTCACTCACCACATTCGGCCACTTCTTTCTTCTTTTTCCTGTACGTGCTTCTTCCCCAACTGTTTCGCCCACGACGACTGTCTCTCCAAAGTGTCCAAGCCTCTACCTTGCCCGTTTCTTCGTGGTGTCCATGGCTTCTTCCCCCGTTCTCAGGCCCCACGTTGGGTGCCATTTTGTCGTGGCCCAGCATGTCTCAGCCTTAGTCCATGGGGTTCTACCTGAGTGGGGGGTGTGGACCTGGAAGCTCCGAGCAACCCAACGGCGATAAAGACCAAACACAGGCATCTTGTCATCTCTAGAGAGCTCTCAGTTCCATGTTGTGGAACTAGAGTCATTTCTTTTTTAGCCATCTTTTCTGGTGTTTCTTAACCATCCTGCTAATATCAGGAGGCAACCATTTCTCTCTTTGTTCCCTTGCTGCTCTGGCCGCTCCCCTCTTCACTCCTAACTTTTTGTCCTCACAAGTTATTCACACACCTCTAGCTCCTCCGCCCAGGTGAGGGCCTATTCAGATGCTTAGGCACATACAGATGCAAATAAGAGGCATATTACTCTGTGGCTATGGTAAACAGTAGTAGCCTTACTGGCATTAACAATACGATAGTGGGCTGGAGCTCTCCGGTGCTCCATGTTTAGTGAAATCAAAGGCCGGATCTCAAAATATTCCATAGCAGAAAGATTTTGGTCCCCCACACTCTTGTAGACCAGGATGGTCTCGAACTCACAGAGATCCGCCTGCCACTGCCTCCCGAGTGCTGGGATTAAAGGCGTGTGCCACCAACGCCCGGCAAGTCCCAGTTTTTAAAGCTGATAAATAAAGCAATGTTCATATATTTATTATTTGTTTGGGTTTGTGTACTTGCTTGCTTGTTTGAGTTAAAACCTCACTGTGTAGCCCTGGCTGTCTGGAAACACACTATGTAGACCAGGCTGGCCTTGAGGTCACAGATCTGCCTGCCTCTCGTCCCAGGCGCTAAGATTGATGGCATCAACCGCCATGCCTGTGTGTGTGTCTCTACTTGTACTTGTAGAATGATGGTGGGCTCACTTTAGATAGGCTTCTGTCAAGTGGATGGGTACCCGGTTAACTTACAAGTACAGGTGACAGCATTATGTGAATCATACTATACTTGACAAGAGTGCGTTTATCTTTCTGAAAAATGCTTTTGTGCTGCTTCCAGCCCCTTCTGATGTAATGTCTCAGCATGCATGAGACCCTGGGTTCCATCCCCTCACTACACAAACTAGGGGATCATGCCTGTAACCCAGATTTTGGGAGGTGAAGGCAGGAGGTTTAGAGTTCAGGGTTATTTCAATTCTACAGGAAGATAAAGGCCAACCTGGACTACATGAGAAAGAAAAAAAGGTATTATTTGCATTGTCAAAATTGTACATTGAGGGCCTGGGCTGGTGGCACTGGACTTAAGAGCATTGTCGGGCTTGCAGAGAAAACCAGGTTTCAGGTTCCCAGTGCCCAGTGGCAGCTCATGACAGTTGGTGTTGTAACTCCAGTTCTGGGGATGTGATGCTTTTCTGATGTCTGCAGGCACTAGGCATTCACGTGGTTCAAAGGCGTGCAGGCAGACACTCATATACATAAAAGTAAAGAAGCCTTTAAAATGTGTCCGTCACAGGCTAATATGTCATTTTAATGTTGGAGACCATTTGAAGAAACATGCACATTTGCTAGATGGCTGCTGCTGGAGAGAGCCCACAGCACAGCACAGTGGGAGCACTGCCTGCTGTGACCCCACTAGGCCTTACCAGTGGAGGCCAGTGGCACATGTCCAGAGGTGTCTGTGATCATGCTGCTGGCATCAGAGCTAGCTGGCTTTCTAGTTGGGTTTGCAAGAGCGAAGCTTTGTGCAGGCCACTCTTGGGAGAGCTCATGCAGTAGCTGACTTGAGAGAGTAAGGCGGTTCTAGTCACCGTACCAAGAGCCTCGAAGGTGAATGGATATAACAGACCTGAGGATTCCTTGAGAGAGAACAGATTAATTTCAAAATACAAGTCACCCAGTGCAACGATAACTCTTTCTGCCAGCTGCCTGAGTTCCACCGTCACATTAGGGCCCCAAAGTAACACATAGAGACATATTAGGTACAGTGCTGCTGGCCAATGACTAGGATTTCTTATATGCTTGCTCTGTCTTAAGTATCAACCATAACCATTAATCTATATATTTTATAAAGACTTATCGAGGACACCTGCCTTATGCATCCTGTCTTCCTGGGGATCACGTGGCGATTCCTCTTTACTACATTTCCCAGAATCCTCCTTGACTTCTAGCCCCACCTATCTTGCTTCCCTATTGGCTAACATTGCTTTATTTATCAACCCAGGAATCTAGTTTTTTTTTTTCTTTTTAATGATAGAGTCTCTCTCTATGTAAAGCTAGTTGTCATAGAACGCCCTTTGTAGACCAGGCTGGGCTCACAGAGATCCACCTGCCTCTGCCTTGCAAGAGCTGGAATTAAAGGTATTCGCCACTACCGCCTGCTAGAATCTAGTCTTTTACATCATTCTCTTTTGTTTCTCTTATTAAGTACCTCTTAAGAATTTTTAGAAAACAGCCCTGTGGTGATGGCAGTGCCACCTTTAATCCTATCAAAGGCAGGTGGATCTCTGTGAGCCTAGGCTACAAAATGAGACATTGTCTTAAATTACAAAAGAAAAAGTTTCTAAACTGGGGTGGTAGTGCAGACCTTTAATCCTAGAACTCAGGAAGCAGAGGCAGGTGGATCTGTGAGTTAGAGGCCAGTGTCTGGTCTACAGAGTGAGTTCTCAAACAGCCTGGGCTACATAAAGAAACCACCCCACACACACATAAATTTAAAAAATGTTTAGTAGATAAAAACTTCATAAAGGGGGAAAGCGTGGAGAGCAAAGTGCACTTGATGGGATGGAGATGAAAAGAAGAGTTAGACTGAGGACTGCCCTGGACATGGGAAAGTCAGTGCATTGGAAGGGAACCAGAGATACAGCAGCAATCAGGCAGGCCTTGGACAGGAAGGATGTGCGGTAAGAAAGTGGAAATAGCCATATAGATGCTCTGTCTCTATTCCTCCACCCGGTTCATCTCTGTCATGACATGGGCGTCACTAGGAGAACTGTATGTTGATGGTTTCATTGGCTTACTGTTTGTGGGTCCTTAGGCTTCGGAACTCCACTGCAGTCTTTTGCACACAGATGGCCAAGGGCATGTCTGCTAAGGCTCTTGCTGTCAGGGACAAGCTTGCACCCCAGCCTGGGTGTTGCTGGCGTTTTCACCCTCTGGCACCCATCTTGCTCCCTGGCTCAGCATATGTATGCTGCATGAGTAAATAGGTGAACAACCCTCAGGATGTTTGGTATAGCTGTTTGCAGAGCTCTTCAGTAGTATGTCTTCCTCTGGTGTGCCTTGCTGTGACCACTCTGAGGGGGACATATAGGAAGTGTAGCTGTAAATGAGCGAGCTCACAGGCCTGAGTCCCCATCCCCAAGTGCAGGTCCTCTGTGTCAGTGTCTTTCTTTTCTCTGTCTTTCAGGCTGGAGTAAAAGGGACACTGGGAAGGTTGGTTGGAATTTTTGAGGTAAGTCTTTTACTGCCTTTGCTCTGAAGTCATTAGCTAGCCACTGTCCTAACTGTGGAAGGCCTCCTGCATCTCCCTGAGTGTCAGAAGAGGCCACAGCGCAGACTAGCATTCTCTGCTTTTTGTGGGTTTGTGTTTGTGTGGATGCATGTGAGTACATGTCTGTGGACGACTGCACATGTCATTCTTTAGGGGCCACCTGGCTCGAGCCTGGAGCTCATCATAGGCTGTGTTGAGCCAGGGATCCCCCTGTTCCCACTTCCCCAGTCTGAGATCACAGACTTAACCTCTGTGCCCAGCTTTTTCCATGGGTTCTGGAGTTAAATTTGGACCCCAAATGTGTACAGAGTATCATTTATCCTTTCCTGGCGTTGCTCCTGTTCTCCCAAGGTGAGGGAAAGTAGAATAGAGAAGACAAGAGGGGAGCTGAAAGGCAGTCAGGAAATGAGAGGCGGGAGCAGAGGGGCAGGGTCAGCACGCTGGGGAGAGGACGCAGGCCTCACTCAGCTTGCTTTCACTGCGGCCCTGACACACAGTCTGGACACTCTCAAGTGCAGCGTTCCTGAGAAGTTGTGGTTAGGAGAAAAAGGAAGGATGTAATGCTCAGACTTGAAGAGTCTGGCCACCCGCTGGACAGATGTCTTGACAACCAGGTATGGGGGTGCACGCCTCTAGTTCCAGTACTCGGGAGGCAGAGGCAGTGGATCTCAGAGTTCTAGGCCAGCTTGGTCTACAGAGCGACACCCAGGACTATGTAGAGAGAAAGTCTATTTCAACAAAAAGGAAAAGAAAAAGAAGTACTTGTTAATTGGGCATGGTGGCATGCCCTTTAATCCCTGTTCCACCTGGGAGACACAGGCAGCAAGAGGATCTCTGTGAGTTCAAGGCCAGCCTAGTCTACATAGCAATTTCCAGGCCAGCCAGGGCTACATAGTGAGACCCTGTTTCAAAAAAAATTGCACCAGGCAGTAGTGGCGCACGCCTTTAATCCCCCAGAACAGGCTCCAAAGCTACACAGAGAAACTCTGTCTCAAAAAATAAACAAAGAAAATTGCTGTTTTTATAGACACCATGAGTTCAATTCCCAGCACCCATAGTGGCTAAACATCTACCTCTAACTCCAGTTCCAAAAGATCAGACACCTTCTGGCCTTCATGGGTGTGCATGAGCGCTCTCTCTCTCTCTCTCTCTCTCTCTCTCTCTCTCTCTCTCTCTCATCACCAGGAGGAAGGCAGCTCTTCTTGTGCTCTCTATTCTGGTGGAGCCCTCTTGAGACAACAACAAAAGCAGAGGGCATTGTATAGCAATGTTTCTTCAAGCATCTCAACCCACTGTCCTTTCTGTGCCCTTCAGAACCAGGAGAGGAAGCACAGGACATACGTGTACGTGCTTATTGTCACAGAAGTGCTGGAAGACTGGGAAGACTCCGTGAACATTGGTAAGTCAGTGCAGAACCAGCCCGTTGCATCCAGACCCTGCCCTGCTGCTGACAGGGAAAGATGCTGCAGTGTGAGCTAAGCAAGCACGTGCGCCTTGAAGCTGAGGAAGGCAGCATTTGTGGTTGTCTCAGAAAAAGCTGAGGTGGGGTGGTAGTGGTGTGTGTCTTTAATCCCAGCACTTGGGAGACTGAGGCAGGTGGATCTCTATGAGTTCAAGGCCAGCCTGTTCTACATAGTGAGTTCCAGGACAGCCAGGACTACACAGAGAAACCCTTTCTTGACCCCCACCCAAAAAAAAAGCAGCAGCAGTAGCTGAGGTTACAGATAGGGTCAATAAGTGGGAAACATGTTCTATAAAACTTAGAAAATGTTTCTGAAATAAAATTGGATCCTTCCCAAAAGGGCTACACTGTTGTACTCTTTGAACAGATACTGACCTGGGGCCTCCCATGCTGGGCCAGGACCAAAGATGAGAGCAAGATGTAGTCTTGTGTCTGAGGCTGTCATTCATACATGGGGCTGGGGTCTATAGAAGCAGAGGGTCTGGATTCCATCCCCAGGACCACATAGACATTCAGAAAATGAGTCAGGGGTGCAGGGATGAAAAGAAGACCAAGGTGGGTGTGTCGTGTACCTGTCCTTGCCACTCAGCCTGACAGGAGCCACACCTGGGCTGTAAGACACCATTGCTCATTAGTGCCCAGACAGGCCTTTTCCTGGCTTCTTAGCGTTGCTCACTAGTAATTCCAGGGAAGGCATCTAAAGCTCAGGAAGGGCTTTTGGTTTGTAGCCTGGGGTGCACTTTCTCTTTTCTTTTTCAAAGATTTATTTATTATGTATAGTGTTCTGCCTGCACATATGTCTGCACACCAGCAGAGGGCACCAGATCCCGTTATAGATGGCTGTGAGCCTCCATGTGACTGCTGGGAATCAAACCCAGGACCTGTGGAAGAGCAGCCAGTGCTCTTAACCTCTGAGCCAGCTCTGCAGCCCCCAGAGTGCACTTCTAACCTTCCTGCCCAGCCGCTCAAATGCTGAAGGTACAGCTGTGTACCATCCCAGCCCGGAAATCACAAATGAAGAAAGCTGTGTTCATCTTTTGAGATGTTAAGCACCTTCTTGGTGCTATCGAGTGGGGAAGTGGCTGGAGCTGCAGAAGTCGGGTTAGAGAGAATGGGAAGTACAAGTAAAAAATAATTGGCAGTGATCTAAAGTGAGGCTAGGACTGCGGCCCTGTGTAGAGTGCCAGCCTGGTGTGTAGAGGACTGACTGTGTGTAGAGGACCACTCTGAGTGGAGCTGGTCTTGGAAGCCATTCTGGGAAGCAGTCCAGCAGCAGAGCTCTGGAAGGCCAGTGCTTGCTCGGGGCAGCCCTCAGGCTCTGCACCCTTTCCTGGGAAGGCAAAGCAGCAGGTAGGTATCTTTTCTCAGGGGCTGAGGATTTAGCTCGGTGTCGGGACATTTGCCCATCACACACACACACGTAAGGGCCTGACGGGTTCCATGTACACATACCCACAGCCTGTCTATCTAGAGAGACTAGACGTCAATAAAACCATGTCACTAGGCGTTGCTGGCACACTCTTAATCCCAGCACTCGGGAGGCAGAGGCAGGCGGATCTCTGTGAGTTCAAGGCCAACCTGGTCTACAGAGCGAGTTCCAGGATGGCCAGGGCTATACAGAGAAACCCTGTCTCCTAAAACAAAAAAGTAAATAAAAGAACAAACTACAAAAAAAAAAAAAAAAAAAAATTAACCTTTGGGACCTGGAAAGATGGCTCAGTGGTTAAGAGCACTGGCTGCTCTGCTCTTCCAGAGGACCCAGGTTCAATTCCCAGCAACCACATGGTACCTCACAGCCCTCTGTGTCTCCAGTTTCAGGGCTTCTGATTCCCTCTTCTGGACTTTATAGACACCAGGTGTACATACATGACTATACATACATACACATAAACTGAGTAACTCTGAAAAGAAAAAGCAGACTCCTGTCAGGGACTGGGTGCTGAGTGTCACTGAGGGCCTTTCTGTAACTGAGCTGTAGAGAGACCCCGGGGTCGAATCCTGTTTATTATCCACCTCATAGATGAAGAAATGGAACGCTGAGGGGTCCGTGACTTGACCAATGCTCCCCAGTTTGTGGGAGCCAGGGACCTGCTGGGGTCCAGCACACTGGCTTCGTGGCCTTGCCCCTGGCCCTGAGGTATTTTATTGCCTTGTGTTTTTCCTCACTGTTGGAAGTAGAAGCCCAGACCTCATACTTTAGACTAGTGTCCAGTCACTGAGCTCTCTCCATCTCTGCTTCTCCATTTTGGAACAATCATATTTTCCTGCCCACAGAGTCAGAAGAGGGTGTTTATAGGAGGGAAGTAAACCAGTCGCGGTGGCTAACGCTTTAGTACTAGCACTCTAAAGGCAAAGGCAGGAGGGTCTCTCAGTTTAGGGCCAGCTGGTCCAGAAGGACACCAGGGCTACATAGAAAAGACCATGCCACAAAAAATAAAATAAAATAAAACATCAATTTTAATAAAAGTAGGCTCAAAATAGTAATTTGTTAAATTGGGTTTTGTTTTGTGTTTTCTTTTCTATATTTGCTTGTATGTTGTATGTGCATGTGGGTGGACTCTTTTTACTGTTTGTTTTTGTTTTTTGAGACAAGGTTTCTCTCTGTAACCCTGGCTGTCCTGGGACTCACTGTATAGACCAGGCTGTCCTTGAACTCACAGAGATCTGCCTGCCTGTGCCTCCTGAGTGCTGGAATTAAAGGTGTGCACCACCACCGCCTGCCATGTGGGTGCACTCTTGCCATGGCATGCACATAGAGTCAGAGAGCAGCTCTGTGGAGTCCATTCTCATCTCCATTTTTACATGGGTTTGGAGCTTGAACTCGGGTCACTGTCACCGGGCCCACGCAGCGTGCATCTTTGCCCCTGAGCCATCTCACCAGCCCCCTTATTTTCTGTGGCAGATCCATCTCTTACACGAGTTTTTAAATAAAAGGAGGATGATAGAAGATTATATCATAATGATGCTGGCAGCTGATACCGGTGTAGTGTTTGCCAAAGATAAGGAGGATGGACGGACCCTCCTTGAAGGTGTAGGCTGACACGCTCAGAGCCCTGAAGGGCTGGTGTGACGAGTGGGTCCCAGCCCATCTCCCGTAGTTGGCTCTGTGGGACATTTGGATTGTGTGGCACGCTGGTTTTATATGTGTAAGGAAATGCAAGCACCGACAAGCATTGAGAAGCTTTGGGGCATGGGGTTGAGGGAGGCTCTCGTGTAGCCCAGGCTGGCCGTGGTTTCCCTGGGTAGCCAAGGATGACCTTCAGTTCTTGATCCTCTGCTATCGACTCTGGAGTTCTGGGATCACAGACACCACAGCAGCTGTGAAGCCTGACTGGAATGTTCCCCCGAGTCCTCTCCGAACTGTGCTCACTGGCCCCAGCTTGTCTTCATTTCTCCCCTCTGCCTCCACAGGAAGGAAGAGAGAGTGGTTTAAAATAGAAGATGCCATAAAAGTGCTGCAGTGTCACAAGCCCGTGCAGGCGTCCTACTTTGAGACGTTGAGGCAAGGCTACTCTGCCAACAATGGCACCCCTGTCGTGGCCGCCTCGTACCCCAGCTCTGTGTCAGGCATCAGATGACTGCAGACTCCTGTGAGAGCCGGAGTGGAAACCAGACTGAAGCGTGGCTCTCCTCACGGCTCCCTCACCCTCCTTGCAGCCTCCTCTTTCACCCAGGCATGGTGGGCATCAGAAGGGGACACTGAGGGGCTGCTGGGTGTGGGGTGATGTGCGTGGGGTGTGGGGTGATGGGAACTCTTTCTCTGTGTCCTGAGGGTGGGCCTGGGATGTAACCTTCCTGCATGCTCCGCTCCTCCCTCCCTCCCCTGCCCTCTGAGAGAGGGAACCCCTTCTCCCTCCCCTCTTGGGTTCTGAAGCGTTCCCATTTGCCTCATCCAGCCTGGCCAGGTATTTTCTCTAATTTTTTTTTCCATTAAAAGACGCCCATGTGAGATGAAACTTTGTAGGAATCTGTCCTGTGATGTGCTGTTGAGCCCCATGGGGTGGCCTTGTTCCCTTCACGATGCATTTGTCTACACATGGTACATGACATGATATGTAAATGAGTGATTTAGAAAGAGCATCTTGACTGTTTAGTTTTTCAGAGTTTTGCTATTTGTTTTTATTTTATTTTTTATTCCAGGTATTTCTAGTTTAAGGCCCCTCATACTTTACATGTTTGTTCCAATGCTAGTGACTGGGCAGGTTTCCCTGTCCTCTATTCCCCAGCCATGGTAAGCTTAGCCATCTTCCTCATGTCCCTGGGACCCTGGCCTTCTCAAAGGCTGTTTCCATGCCAAGGAACCTGTTTTCTTCTCTGTTACTAAGCCTGGAGCAAATGGCCTCAGCCAGAGCCAAAGAAACAGTACTAGAAATTGAATTCTGCCCTCCAATGTATTCACAGTAGGCTTTAAACTAGATACCTTCCCTGTCTCAGAAACTGGACCATCAAGCACCATGTCTGTCCTGCTGGCTGGGAATTTTTTCCATAACGCTATTCTTTGCTGACATGGCCTCTCTCACCCTTGTATGCCTTACACCACGCTGACCTGGATATGGCCCGATGCTTTGAAGCCCCCGTGCTGAGAGCCCCCACCCCCACTGAGGTCCTGAGCAGGACACACGGAAAGTTCCTGTGTCTCTGAGGTTGGAGCATGTGTGAAGGGTTGCACCAAGAGCATGCTCAGAACACTAGCGTGCTCTTTCCCCCATTCCTCCCCCACCCCCGTGAAAGGCCATCTGTAGGAGGGGAGCACTTGTGACCCTCTGACTTGCTGCAGGCTCCTGTTGGTGTTTTGTGCTGCACTCATCTGCCAGTTGTGGTGTTTAGTTGGGAAGTAAAGGTCTTGGATGGGACCTTGAGCAAGGAGGGCGGGAGGGAGCTGATGCCTGGTTCAGTGTGGGGCTCGGGGCTCTGTGGCATTGCCTGTGTTGAAATGTAGCCAAGATGTGAAATTAAAATAGTACTTCTCTTTATTTAAAAACTAATAAATACTCAAACTTTGAAAAGCTTTTGCTCTTGGTTCCACTTTGGGAGTGTGTGTGGTGACCCGAGCCATCAACCTTGAACACGTTTTGGGTGTCGGCTGGTTAACTTTAATTTTATATGTGTCTGCCCCCCAATGATGACACACCGATCCCAACTCAGTGTAGGTGGGTGGGTGGGTCAAGGACTCTCTCAGGCCTGTGAGACAGGAATGGCATCCCAGGGTGGGGGTCTAGTGGATAGAGACAGCACCATGGAATTTGAGTCCAGAGACCAACTTGCTCTTGTGGGCCCCGCTTGTAGACAAACGCTCTGCTGCTTGTGGCCTGGCTTAGAGCTTTCTAGAGTCATATCCACACAGAGAGGAAACATAATCCCAGGCCACATGGTTTGGGGGCAGCCCTGCTCGGGTGCACAGTGATAGAGCTCTGCAGGGAACTGCACTCTGTAGCTATGCTGGCTGGGCTGCTGTTTTGATATCCTGTCCCCAAGGGCCAGTTTTGAGTGTTTTTGGAGTCACTGGGTCCAGAAAGTGAACTGTGCCGAGTCCTCTTCGGTGGCATCAATAGTTAGCAGCCGCGATTGGGCCACCACCAGCTAATAGAAGCCAGCTCTGAGTGGCCCCACGCTCGTGATCCGGTGCTTCTCTGTGCCCTGAGGAGGGGCCAGCATTTCCCTCCTGGCACCAGCAGCACGCTGGCTGCTGCTGCTGCTGCTGCTGGCAGAGTTGGAGACCTTTTGTGATTGTGAGAGCCACAGCCTTTAACTTGATGAAGAAAGTAAAAACAAGATGAAGCCACCCGGGATCCAGACTGTCATGGTTGGTTAGTTGGTTAGTTGATTTTTTTTTTTTTTTGAGACAGGGTTTCTCTGTGCCTTGGCTGTTGTCCTGGCTGGCCTTGAACTCACAGAGATCTCGCCAGCCTCTGCTGCCCTGAATGCTGGGATTAAAGGCGTGCGCCACCACTGCCTGGCTGCAAAAAAAAAAACAAAAAGGGGCGCTTTTTTATTTCTGATGTTTTAAACATTGAAGAAACACCACTGAGGTTATGTGATCTTTTGAGCCAGGAATTAACTTTGCATGTCTGATACGAGAACAAGCAAGAAGCCAGGCATAGTTTAATCCCAGATTAATGTTTATAATCTCAATATTTGGGAGACTAAGGCAGGAGGATTCTTTTTATTAAAGATTTTTTTTATTTATTTATTCTGTATACAGCATGCTGCTTCCATGTATATCTGCACACCAGAAGAGGGCGCCAGATCTCATAACGGATGGTTGTGAGCCACCATGTGGTTGCTGGGAATTGAACTCAAGACCTCTGGAAGAGCAGTCAGTGCTCTTAACCTCTGAGTCATCTCTCCAGCCCCAAGGCAGGAGGATTCTTGCCAGTTAATATAGTAGCCTGGGCTCCATCGTCTTTTTCTGAGGTGGGGGAGGTGGAGTATATTAGTCAGCCATGTTAGATTTTCTATAGTATCCCAGCATCTGCAGCCACTCAGACAAGAGCCCTGACGGTTTGGTTTCCACAAGTGCACCCCTGCCCTGTCAGTGATGCCTGAAGAAAGCCTCAACCCCAACCACACCCCCACACCCCCACCCCCACTCCTCACCTGGCTGAGCGCTGTGGGCATGTCACTGCCAGGAGTCTGCTGAAAGCCTAGAATCTGGGCACAGAGGACTTCTGGCCTCTGCCTCATGCTGCAAGTCCCTACAACAGGGAGGCCACTAGAGGCCTTGCTTCCTGCAGCGCCAGGGAGCATAGTAGGCCACTGCACCCAGGAGTGGGTTAGAGTAGTTTGTAAAAGTCGCTGCATAGCCAGGTTCCTTAGTAACAGAGTGTGTGGAGGGAGTTGGCCTACGAACCTCTGGGCTTGCTGGGGAGGAAAGGCCTGCAGCTGCCCCCTGCCCGCTTTCTCCTCTGCTACAGCACCTACGGGAAGCTAGTTCTGCAGCACAGATGGGGGCTGGGCTCGTGTTTGGCATGCTGTCCTTCATCCATTTCTCATTTCTGTTCCATTCTGGCACACGCCTAGCATCCCATCTCCATGCTAAAAATAGCTCAGCCTGAGCCGAGTGCCTCTCCCGGGTCACAGAAAGGCCTAAAGGAGCACTGTGATCCCCCCCCCCCCCACACACACACACACACACAGGGTTTCTCTGTGTAGCCCTGGCTGTCCTAGAACTCACTATGTAGAACAGACTGGCCTCAAACTCAGAGATCCATCTGCCTCTGCCTCCCAAGTACTGGGTTTTTAAAGGCGTGACCCACCCACCTCCAGGCTAAGCAGTGTGGTTTGTGTTGCAGTGGACTGATTTTGCCATTTTTGAAGTGTATTCCCAGTGTGTCCTTGTTGAGATAAGATTTAGAATTAAAGGGGAAATAGCTGAAGAAAAACATTTTTTTTTTCCAAGAAAAGGAGAAGTAACTATACTTGACAATACTTTTGGGGCTGGAGAGATGGCTCAGCAGTTAAGAGCACTGACTGTTCTTCCAGAGGACCCAAGTTCAATTCCCAGCACTCACATGGCAGCTCACAACTGTAACTCCAAAAACATGCATGCAGGCAAAACACTAATGCACATAAAATAAAAATAAATAAAAAGACAATTCTTTCACCATGTTTCAGAAAATCCTCTTCTTGACAAAGGTGGGCAGGAGTGGGGTGGTACAGCCAGACAGTGTGGGGAACTGGGAAGCCATTTAATGTGTGGGGCCGGTCTCCTCTGGCCGAGGACCCAGCAGTGACCTCTCTGTCATTTGGAATGTGCAGGAGCGGACCCCAGTGTCCAGAAAGCTGCCTCCATCTTACACTATATATGTATATACCACTGAGTGGAGTTGGCTGACGTCTGAGGGTGTTCCTGTTCTGGGTCCCCGGGTCCCTTCCCCACTCTGCAGCTTTGTGTTGTGACCGTGGTTTTGTGCTAGCCCAGAAATTTGTTGGGGGAGGGGGAGAAGTTTGATGGAGGACTGGAGGGAGTGATGCCTCTCACCTTCGTTTTCATTTGTGTTATTTGGGGGCCCTGCTTGAATTGAGTCCACAGACAGTGAGTTTGGCCATCTCTGATACAAAGAAGCTTTGTTAAAGAGCCCTGTCCCTGAAGCTCCCTGTACAGTGATGGTTCAGGGCACTGTAGCTTGGCCTAGATATAGGCTATCTCCTAGGAAGGAGAGCCCAGTGGGAAGACTGTTCTGTCACTGGCCGCAGAGCCTCTGTTGGGAAGGATGTTGAAGTCATTGCTTCCCCTTCCCTGGTGGTTGATTGTCAGCCTAGGTTTTCATCATCACTTACAGAGAACCAGTTTTGAACCCTAACCCCTGACAACATTGGAAAAGACCTGTATTTTATTTAGTTTTTCCAGTTTCTCTCTGGCTGTTCTAGAACTTGCTCTGTAGACCAGGCTGGTCTTGAATTCAGAGAGGCCTCTGCCTCTGCCTCTGCCTCTGCCTCTCTGCCTCTGCCTCTGCCTCTGCCTCTGCCTCTGCCTCTGCCTCCTGGGTGCTGGGATCAAGGGTGAGCGCCACCACCATGCCTGGCTATAGAGCAGTCTTTCTAACCAAGTGGAGAAAAGGATGAGGGGCCTCAGTCTGGCTGCTAGGCCTTCACTCCTATGAAGTGGTTCCTCATAGGAAATCTTACTGCTTGCAAACTCCTGTTGGTCATTTCTTGATTTGAGCTGTGCTCCTGGCTCTTTGGCCCTGAGTTAAACAATCTGAGCTAGTAAAGGGTCAGTAGTCTCTCCCCTACTGCTCGGTGAGAAGCTCTTCAGGGCTAACTGAGCCCTGGTTATCAGTCCCTCTGGGACGGGAGACATGCCACTAATGAGAAGGCACTAGTGTGGGTTACTCTTTGCCTACAGTTTAAGAGACCCGACTTTTCCGGAGGAAGGTCAGGGCTATTGGAGAGCTGATGACAAGACAGGATCACCCAGGAGCAGGTCTGGGGTGAGGCTTGGGGGAACACTGATGTGCAGGCAGGGTGAGGAGGTCTTTCTCAGAGTCAGAGGCCATGTCCTCCTGAGAGAGTCTCCACCCATGGCTGTGAGCCTTGTTCTCAGAACTTCTCAAGGGGCATCTAAGAATCATAACAGAGGGCTGTGGAGGTAGCTCCGCCCAGCGTGCACAAGGTTCTGTCCCCAGTACTAAAAAGCAAAAGCCTATGTCGCTTAGGCTCTTTGGCCTCAGCAAACAGACATGGGTGTGCTCTGCAGAGAGCAGAATGTGACATGCTAGTGACAAAACTAATTGGGCCAGTCTGTTGTCAAAGAAACAGCCTGTGGAATGGCTCTGTGTGTACTGGCTGTGTTCTGTTTTTATGGCGTGAACACTGACAGCTGGTAATAATCAAAGAAAAGGTTGGTAGTTAAAAGTGAAATTTTATTTTGCACAGATGACTCCCGGTTGGGTGAGTGGAAGCGAGTATTGCCCTGCCGCTTGAGGCCAAGCAGAAGCACCTGTGTCTGCCCTTCTGGCTCTGCTTGGCTCGGGGATCTTGCCTTCATCCCATCTAGAACTCCGTGGGGATGGGCTCTGAGAGTAGCGAGGCCCTAGTTCTGTGTGGTGATTGCTGCTTACTGCAGAGTGTACATCCGCCACTTAGAACCCTGCTGCACCCACCAGCAGAAGCTGTGGTGGTCAGGACATTGCATTTAAAAGATGACCTGATGTGCTTCTCCTCTGTGGTGTGTGCCGTGCACACACGCTCTCCTCATCCAACGAGCCTGCCAGGTAAGGGCAAAGTAGCCGAGATACCCTGAGTTTGATTTTTTTGTCCCATTAGACCTTTTAGCAAAGGGTGAATGCTCAAGTTTAGTACCTTCTCCTGGGCTGAGACAGAGACCGAGGCCAGGTGCCCACAGAGATGATGGACATGCTGAGTTGCCGAAGAAGGTCCACACTTGATGCCAGTGAGCTGGGTAGAACATTGTAAGGAGTGGCCAGCCCCTGGAGGGAAAGGAGGGTGGTGTAGGCCTTAAAGTTTTTAGCCCTTAGCAGGAGAGTAGCATGGGGCGATAGTGGCCATCCTCCCAGCTAAATGGGCTCTGGGGCCTGGAGCTTCACAGCCTGTGGGGTATGACCGTGGTTTCCATTTTCCCGACAGCCTGGTCCCTTTCCAGTGCCCTTACAGCTTTGCTAAGAGGTCTTGGCAGTGCTCTTGGGCACTGTGAGAAATGGAATCCGGGCCTGAAGAAGCAGAAGGAGGCTGAGTTTTCCTGTCTGCTTTTCCTGATGCCATATTCTCAGGTTCTTGGGCACCTCTCCCATGGGCTGTGGAGGACAGCAGAGAAGCTCTGAGGCAGACAGCTGCACCAAGGTGTCACCCTGCCCTCTTCACAGCAGGCAAGAAGGAGCCCTGCTTGAGTCTCATGATAACCCCTCCCTTGGTCCAGAGAGTACTTTGGCACTGTCTACCATCCCCACCCATCCCACCTCGTGAGTGCAGCCCTCTGCTCTGCTGACCTCCTCCTTCCTGCTGAGTTGGCCTGAGCCATGCCTAGTATGAAGGACACTGTACTGTAGATTGTAAGCTGGTATCAACCAATAAAAACCAGTATTTGACACCTCTGTTCTTTTGGTGGCTTCCTGGAGTCCTCCTTGCTGTTTTGTTTTGTTTTTTATGACTTTGGCCCAAATTGGGCTCTTTTTTTTTTTTTTTTAAAGATTTTATTTATTATGTATACAACATTCTGCTTCCATGTATATCTGCACACCAGAAGAGGGCACCAGATCTCATTACAGATGGTTGTGAGCCACCGTGTGGTTGCTGGGAATTGAACTCAGGACCTCTGGAGAGCAGTTGGTGCTCCTAACCTCTGAGCCGTCTCTGCAGCCCCTTTCTGTCTTTTTAAAACCATGGTTGTTTTTGTTACTATGCTGGCCGCGTCCCTCACACACCCTGCTCCGAGTTCAGACTCTGCCCTTCCCTTGTCCCTCCCCCTCCATCACTCTTCACCATGTTTTTCATTTTCATTTTTTTTTTTCCCAGACAGGGTTTTTCTGTGGCTTTGGAGGCTGTCCTGGAACTAGCTCTTATAGATCAGGCTGGCCTCGAACTCACAGAGATCCGCCTGCCTCTGCCTCCCGAGTGCTGGGAGTACAGGTGTGCGCCACCAACGCCCGGCTTCATTTTAATTTTTTTTAAATGTATTTTTATTTTATGTGCATTGGTGTTTTTGCTTACACATAAGTCTGTGTGAGGGTGTCGGATCCTCTGGAACTGGAGTTACAGACAGCTGTGAGCTGTCATGTGGGTGCTGAGAATTGAACTCAGGACCTCTGGAAGAGCAGCCCGTGCTCCTAACCACTGAGCCACGTCTCCAGCCCTCCTCTTTTTTGAGACTATAATTACATCATTTCTGTCTTCCCTCCAAACCCTTCCACCCTCCCTTCCTTAATCTCTTTCAAATTCATGGACACTTTATTATTACCACCTTATTTCTTTACGACAGACGGAGCCTGTCTCTAAACCTGGAGCTCACTGATTCAGCTAGGCTGGGTGGCCAGCAAGCCCTAGAGACCTCCTGCCCAGCACTGAGATTCCGGGAGTGGGCCTCTGTGCCCAGCTTTTCTGTGGGTACCAGGTCGCTGCAGAACACTTTACAGACAGCCATCTCTCAGTTCCTGCTTGTCGTTGAGACAGGATCTTGTGTAACAGGCTGGCCTTGAACTCATGATCCTCTTGCCTCAACTTCCTTAGCTGACAGTACAGGTCTGAATCGCTGGCCCAGCTCCTCTCCCCATCAGAGGAATGAGCCAACTGACCTGGAGTTGTAATTAGGTTTTTTGTTTGTTTGTTTGTTTGTTTGTTTTTCTAAGATTTTATTTATTATTTATACAGTCTTCTGCCTGCAGGCCAGCAGGTCCAGAGGTCCTGAGTTCGATTCTCAGCACCCACATGACAGCTCACAGCTGTCCGTAACTCCAGTTACAGACACTAGATCTTATTCAAGGTGGTTGTGAGCCACCATATGGTTGCTGGGAATTGAACTCAGGACCTCTGAAAGAACAGTCAAACCGCTGAGCCATCTCTCCAGCCCATAATTAGGGTTTTTAAAAAAAGAGACACTTGGGCTGGAGAGATGGCTCAGAGGTTAAGAGCACTGTCTGATCTTCCAGAGGTCCTAAGTTCAATTCCCAGCAACCACATGGTGGCTCACAACCATCTGTTATGAGATCTGGTGCCCTCTTCTGGTGTGCAGATATACATGGAAGCAGAATGTTGAATAAATAAATAAAATCTTAAAGAAAAAAAAAAAGACATCCTCAGCCGGGCACTGATGGTACATGTCTTTAATCCCAGCACTGGGAAGGCAGAGGCAGGCGGATCTCTGTGAGTTCGAGGCCAGCCTGGTCAACAGTGAGTTCCAGGACAGCCTCCAAAGCTACACAGAGAAACTCTGGAAAAAAAAGACTTCCTCTGACCTGCATTCTAATGATCACCGTGGGCCAATGGCTTCTCCTGTCACACCAGTTTCTGAGGTCATTATCAGGGTAAATGCAAAGCGTAGGGTTTGTACCTAGAAAAAAGAGAAATGTTAAAAGGCCCACAGAAGTTTTGACCTGAGTTATGGAAAGGAAGTCACCCCAAAGCAGTACGCTCCTGACACTGGGGACAGACAGGCTGTGTTCCTGCCTCCCTTTGTTGACACTGGGCATGGTAGCTCTGCTCACCCCTATCCAGGTTTGGCTCCCATCCCGAAGATCTGATCACTGTGCCTGAAAAAGCCTGTTATTACAGGCCACGGCTTTTCTGGTTTCAGGCCAGTTTGGGGTGTGAAGGATTTGTTTTCAGTCACGGTCTTATGATCTAAGCTGAAGATACAGCCACGAGCCTCCATGTTGAGTGCCCTGAATACCAGCAGCATGCTAAACGTGGGACACAGTCCTCGTGCAGACACCTGTTTGGGTGACAGATGGCATTCTGGAGAAAGTAAGCCATGAGAATCAGGGAAGAAGGGGCAGTGTCAGGGGGACCATGGAAGCAGGTGTGGGAAGGGAAGATTGCTGGTGCGGTGTGAGCTGTGCGCTCAGGAGTCAGACAGCTCTGCTGTCAATGGCCTCTGTGATACCGGACCATTTGCCAACCCCAGTTACCTCGTTCATAAGCAAATTGTGTATGGCCCAGAGCTTGAGGTATTATGGTGTGATTGTGAAATGCCCCCCCCCCCAAGGACTCATGCTAAAAGCCCAGGTCACAAGCCAGTGGCACTATTTGGGAGGTCTGGAAACATGGAGACTTAGCTGGAGGAACTAGGTCTCTTGGGGCTGTCTTGTCCCTGGCACCTAGCTGCCATGCTCTGTTTCTTGTCCACCATGGGCTGTGCAGCCGTGCACACGCACACGCGTCTGAGACAGAGCAGCTGTGTGCATGCACACGCCTCCGAGACTGAGCAGCCTCTGAGATTGAGCAGCCGTGTGCATGCACGCATCTGTCTCTAAGCTGTTGCTGTCGGGTGTTCTGTCACTGGCGTTCAGGACTGCACTCAGCTCAGTAACAGTACAGCACATGAGCAGTAACGTGACAAGCCATCAGTGCGGTAAAACCAGATCCGGAAAGCCAAAACAATGATGGAAGGTGTAAGGGTAACCCAGCCTACAGAGTGGCTTCAAGACCTGCCTGGGCAACGTAGTGAAACCTGGTCTCAAAAAGCAACTGGGCATGGTGGTGAACACCTTCAATTCCACCACTGGGTCCCTGTGAGTTTGAGGCCAGCATGGTCTACATATGAGTTCCATGATAGACTGTTTCAAACATACATATATGCGTACATACATGCATAGCAAAGGGCTGGCAAGATGGCTTGACCAGTAAAAGCATATGCCACCAAACCTGATGACCTGAGTTTGATTGAGTTTGGTCCCCACGGCCCACATGGAAGGAGACAGACAATTGCTGTCCAATTGGCAGGTGTAGTGACAAGCACGCCTCTAATTCTAGCACTGGGAAGGCAGGGCAGGCAGAGCTCTTGAGTTCAATCAAACCAGACTGACCTACATAGTTTCAGGCCAGAAAGGGTTATACAGTGAGACCAGTCTCAAAAAGATGTTATAGCAAGCCCTACAGTAGTGGAGCACGCCTTTATTCCCAGCACTTGGAAGGCAGACACAGGCAGTTCTTGGTGAGTTCGAGGCCAGCCTGGTCTACAGAGTGAGTTACCAGGACAGTCAGGACTGTTACACAGAGAAACCCTATCTTGAAACCCCCCCCAAAAAAAAAAGTTTAAACAGTAGTGGGCACACAACTTGGTGGCAGAAAATTAGCCTAGGATGTGCAAGGCTCTGGGTTTGAACCCCGGTGTTGACAGAAAAGGCTCGGGGTGAAGTGGTCCTTCCCAAGGGAGAGATACCACCTGAGGGTTTAGGAGGATGAGGTAGCCCTGGCTGAAGGAACACCTTTGCCTGGGCTGTGCTTGTTGGCCATGAGTTTGCTGTTTTGGAACATGGTGGCATTGGTGGGCAGTGCTGTGGGAAAGGTGAGCTGGGGTCAGGTGGCCTGGCAGGGAGGTGCTGCACCACTGCCCCTCAGCAGAGCCCTCAGGGCTCCAGACCCTGCTCCCTTAGTCCGTGCAGCCCTGCGATGTACAGGGAATGGCAGGGCATGGGATGACCTGCGGAGACTGGCAGCTTTCAGTGATGCAGTGACACTCCAAGGACAGCTAAGACGACTTGGAAGTACTCAGAGAAGCGAGCACAGGGGAGCTCTGCCCTGTCACTGCGACTTAACATATGGCCAGGCATGGTGGCACACCTCTTTAATCCCAACACACAGGAGGCTAAGGCAGGTGGATCAAAATTCGAGGCCAGTCTGGTCTACATGGCCAGTTCCAGGCCAGCCAGGGCTACACAGCAAAACCCTATCTAAATGAGTAAGTTTCAGAGAAATATCCCAGGCAGCGGTTCTTCAGTCAAGCCTGAGCACCTGACAACCGAACCTGCTGCTGCTCTCCCCAACACTGACGTTAGAAAGCCCGTCAGTGAGGACCGGGACTCTGGTCATCATACACCCCATGGGATCTCAGTCAACAGGTAGTGCAATTGGCCGTCTGTCCATTGCTGTAACAAATATAAGGCGACTTAAAAAGAGAACGTTGGGGCTGGAGAGATGGCTCAGAGGTTCAGAGCACTGACTGCTCTTCCAGAGGTCCTGAATTCAATTCCCAGCAACCACATGATGGCTCACAGCCATCCATTAGGAGATCTGGGGCCCTCTTCTGGTGTGCAGATAGACATGGAAGCAGAATGTTGTATACATAATAAATACAATCTTTTAAAAAAAAAAAGAGAGAGAACGTTTATTTTAGTACATTTTCAGAAGTCTTAGCCTGCTTAGTTGATCCTGTTGCCTTTTCTTTCTTTTTATTTATTTTTTGAGACAGATTTCTCTATGTAGTCCTGGCTGGCTGGCCTACAACTCACAGAGATATATCTCTGTCTCCAGAAAGCTGGAATTAAAGACATGCATCACCATCCATACCCAGCTTCTTTGAGGTTTTGGTTTGGTTTGGATTTTTTTTTTTTTTAAGTCCACACTAGCCCCACACTGGCTCCAAAGCCCATGGCAATCCTCCACAATCTGGTAGTGTGAAGCCACTGACCAAGCCTTTAGGGCCTAGACTCTGGAGGATAGCCCAGCCCAGACCCACCTGAGCAAGCACGGGTAGCGCCCAGACAAGTGTCTGCAGAGAGACCGTCCAGCAGCCACTGAGGTGTTTGCCACATGTGTCAGCTGTGACAAGGTTACAGGCAAGGCAGCAGTAACCAGGTGTAGTACTCAGGCCTGTAACCCTGGCTCTCAGGTTGCAGAGGCAGGAGGGTCTCAAGTTTGAGGCCAGCCTGGGCTACATAGAGAATTGCAGACTAGCGTGGACTAAGAAGCAAGGTCCCAGCTCACACATGGGTACTCACACTCTCTCTCTCTCTCTCTCTCACACACACACACACAGGAAAGGATCCACTAAAAACAAATGTTAGGTGACAAGCATGTGAAATTATTTTCTTGGGCCAAGCAGGACTGAGCCAGGGGGTCACTCATGTGCCATTAATTCCCCCTCCTCATTGTCCTGACTTTCTGAAGATTGTAACTGCAGCCCTGCCCAGTGGCTTCACCTCTCCTCTCCCACCCCGGGTGGCGGTGGCAGTGGTAACACTTCTGCCTTTTTCCTTTAGTTAATTGGCTCTGACCTCCTGCCTGATGCCTGGCCACTCCTGTGTCCTGGAGCCTCCTGTAATTCTCCGAGTGCAAGGCTCCCCCACAGTGCTCCCTGTTCACAGGCTCTGTGCCCCACTTTGGGAGCAATCTCAGATCTTTGCCTCTAAACTGGACTGTGTCCCCTTGGACGTGACCCCATTCTAAAGGCGCTTTCAGAGAACCGACACTCCCTATAGCTGAATATTACAAAGTGGGTTCCTGGGAAACTTGGGCTAGAGAAAACAAAGCCAAATAGCATCAGTTTTTTTGTTTGTCTGGCTTTTCTTTTTCTTTCTTTTTCCTGAGACAGGGTTTTTCTGTGTAGCCCTGGCTGTCCTGAAACTCACAACCTGTGGGATAGACTAAGACCTGTCTCAAAAACCTGTATTCCTTGACCTTTTGTCTTAAGTTTTCAAATATGAAACACATTTGTAATTTGTGATGCTCCCTGGGTCAGTTCTGGGCAGTTTTCAGTTAAAGATATTTTTTATTATGAGCTGGCTAATTTTCCTGCTTACTTGCAATACCTCTAAGTTTTTTTTTTTTTTTTGTTTTGTTTACTAGTTTGAGAAATACTATCTCGAAAAACCAACCAAATAAATAAAAAGATCAGGTAGTAGCTTATAGGGCATTTTCTTAATTTGTGATCAGATGGGAAAGAGTAAAGCCCATTGTGGGTGCTATCATCCCTGGGTTCTATAAGAAGGCAGGCTGAGCAAGCCATGGGGAGCAAACCAGTAAGCAGCACCCTCCATGGCCTCTGCATCAGCTCCTGCCTCCAGGCTCATATCTGACGTGAGTTCCTGTCCTGACTTCCTCTGATGATGAACAGAGGTGTGGAAGTGTAAGCCACATAAACCTTTTTCTCCCCAAGTTGCTTTTTGGTCAGGGTGTTTCATTGCAATAATAGAAACCCTAACTAACACACACACAAAACAGAATCTAAAACTGTAAACTCAGCTCTGGAGCAACTGCTAGCACAGAGCTGTCCAGAAGAGACTCAGTGGCCAACATGCTCCTCTGGTCCTTTGCCAGAGGCTGACTGACACACTCCTCGGGGCCTCAGGCGCTCCCTGCTCCTCCTAAGTTGTCAGGGTTCTGTCCTTTGCACACACTCACAAACGCGCCTTCCAGACATTGAGTGTCTAACTGCAGCTGGGCAGTAATCACAGCGTTCTGTAGATGGATGCAGAAGTCTGGAGAGTTTGAGGCTAACGCCCCGTGAAACCTCCGGAGGAGAAAGAAGCTGGGTATGTGGGCAGCCAAGGGGGCCCAGCCTCTCATCTCAGGCTTGCTCTGACGTCCCTGAAGGTCAGCCAGAAGCCTACAGTGGTGTCTTGTCTCCTTGCTGAAGGTGACAGCAGATGCCTGGGGCCTTCTTTGATTCTTTCCCTCTGCTGATCCTCCCCTGTTGGGTTGGCGTCTGAGGTGAGAGCTGGTCAAGGTTCCCATCTACCCCATGCTTCCTTGTTGGGTCTACCTGCACACCAGACCTGCGCTCCTCATGCAGTCTCCTCTAGGAGGGTCAGAGGAAACGCAGGCCCAGTCAGACAGAGCAACTCACAACACCCTTGCCAGGCTGTAAGTAGGAAGTGGGCCTCGTTCTGGGCACCTCTCAGCTGCCCTTGGGGTTCCTCTTCAAGAAGAGGGCACCTGGGTTGTCTCTTGTCCTCGTTAGCACCTGATGACCCAGGAGGCTGCAGCCCGTTTCAGTGCCACCAGCCCCAGATGGCTTCCAATCCAGGCTGGACTCTTCCGCCACTTGTCACTCTGAATGGGGGAGGAGGGTCACATGCAGGGACTGCAGGTAACCCTGCCTGCTGGTGTGGTGGCATAGGCCTTTAATCCCAACACTCTGGCAGGTGGAAAGGAGAGGGGAGGTAGGTGAGAGGAGGAGGAAGGGAGCGGAGGGGGGGGGAAATGGAGAGCGAGAAAGAGGCTTGCTCAGTGGGCAGAATGCTTGGCTAGCGTTCAGGACGCCTGTTATCCCAGCGTTCAGGTGGTGACTTGAGGGTAAGAGGATCAGGAGTTCAAGACTAGTCTGGGCTGCATGAGACAGAGTCGGTGCTATCCCCGTGGGCATGGTGATACATGCCCACCCAGCACCCAGGAGGCCCCAAAACCACATGGTTGTCCAGCCCCCCGCCCCCAGGGAATGGTTACAGACAGACGAAAAAAAAATTGCCATCAATTTTTAAAAAGATTTATTTGATTTATATGTGTTTTGCCTGTGCCACCTGCTGGTTGGCGGAGGTGAGAAGAGGACGCTGCAGCCTCTGGAAATGGTTGTGTGAATCTCCCGGGTGCTGGGGACCTAACCGCAGTCCTCTGTGACAGCGGTCAGTGCTCTTAACCCCTGAGCCATCTCTCCAGCCCAAACTCAAGTCTTACTCAGACTTCTCCAGTCTGCATGATGATCAGACCACGACAGCATGGACCCAAGCCGCCCGGGACCCAAACAAGCGGCACCCCGGGGCTCCACCTGTGTTTTTCACCCCCTCCCCGGTGGGGGGAAGCTCGGAGGAGCTTAGCGTTCGGGCCACAGGACGTGCAGGGCTCCGGTCGCGCGCCACCATTATGTCGGCTTCACCGCATGGTGCTCTGCAGGTGGCCCCCGCGTCTGCACCCGGACACAGCCCAGCACGCCGGCTCACGCCGAGACCGGGCCACGGGGACTCTGCGGTGAGCGCACAGCGCCC